TCTTGAGTGGCGACCACGAGCTGGAAGACGTAGCGTGGGCAGGCCTCCCACTAGGTGGACCGATGTAATTTAATAAAGGTAAATTTTAAAATAAATTGCATAAAATTTCCTTTAAATTGCAATAGTTAAAGTTCTATAAAAATGTAGAGCTTTCGTTTCCTTGAATTTTCAAAAGTGAACTTTCTTCTGGGCCACCCTGTACATCTCTATTTCGGTTTCTCTCTCACCTAAAGGTTACCTGGAAGAGATTGCTACACACCAATAAGGTCACCTTTTGTACAACTAATACTTGCGTAGATTTAAGTAATATTTATGTTTTTTGTGCAATAAAAAATATATGTATAAGAATAATATACTGGTCATCACAAAAATCGGCCCACCTACGTTTTACATGAAAACTCGTTTCTACTGACACAATCATGGTGCCCCAACAATATTGGTGTTTTTTGAAAGCCCAATAAATATCCTTAAAGAAAAACACATTTAATTTCTTAATGAACGATTAACATAAACGCGATATACAATAAATGTGACTTGAAAAAAGACCTCACTTTGGGCTCACCTCTGGGATCAATTAGACCAATTTTTATGGTTATACTCGTAAAACCAAATAATTCAATTCAATTCAATTTATAAATTTAAAGATAACAATGATCCACATGGTTAGTAAATGGGTGCCTAATACAACTATGTTAGTAGGTAATTTATTTATTATAACATACCACTAATTATCCAACCCGTTCGGTAAGAAGTAGCCGAAGGAAATGTCGGATAATAGGAGAGTCATACCTCTCCGCCACGGTCTTCAGGATACTGTTGGGGCTCACCCGTATCCTACTGAGCAACGAGGCAGTCTTCTTGCGTAGGACAGCAAAGAAGCCGTCAGTATGCGACTGAGCAAACATTTCCGAAGCACTGCAGAAGCGAGGCAAGCCCAACAGCACCCTGAAACCGTTGTTATATTGGACCCGAAGGACGCCAAGCGATTTCTGCGAGTACGTGGTCCATAGGTTTCCCGTGTATAGACTCTGACAGTATGCTTTAAACAGAGTGATCTTGACATGGTCATTACATCGGGCAAACCTGCGAGCCAACATATTACACCTTACTGCCAGCGCCCTTCGTTCCCTCTCGATATCAACATGATCTTTAAGGTCATCAGTAACGTAGTGTCCGAGATATTTAAATTTAGTGACTCTGTTTAACTTTACCCCATTCAGCAAGAGGTCGGGTACCACGTTTGCACATTTACTGGCGGCTTTAAATACCATGTATTCGCTCTTCTTCACATTATACAATAAGCCATGGCATTTAGCATACGCTTCACACACACCCACCATCTTTCTGAGAGCCCCCACTGTTGGCGCCAGCAGTACCATATCATCAGCGTAGCTTATGTTGTTGATACAAACACCATCTACCCAGTATCCGATACGCATACTGCTAAGGACAACAATGAGGTCATTTACGTATAGGTTGAAAAGCCTGGAAGACGTCAGCCCACCCTGTCTCACCCCGCACTGCAACCCATACTCCTCAGAAAAAGCGTTAGCCCATATCTTACGCCGTTAATTTGGTTAGCATACCAATAATGGAATATTTGTGATACTTCTGACGGTACGCCCTGCCTCCTCATCTTATCCCAAAGGATGTCATAAGACTCATAAGACACAAGATCGAACGCCTTGGAGAGGTCGAGGAAGCATGCGTAAATGGCAGTCCCCCGATCCTTGTAGTACCTGACAGTGTGCTTAAGACTAAGGATGGCGCTCTCGGTCGACAGTCCAGGCTTACACCCGAATTGAGCATCATGTGATTTTAAATATTTATCTAGTAGAGAGTCAAGCACACTGTCAAGGACGTAGCTAGAGAGATCGGAAACAATGATCATTGATGATACTAATCCTAACTTAACAGATGGATATTAATCCTTTTTTTTTTTTTTTTTCGACTGGAAAATGCATTGAATTGCATACCCAATGGCTCGGGGGGGCCAATGGGTTATGTGGGGCTCTCCCTGCTAGAAGAACAGGGCATACCCACTAAAAACCAGTCGGGTCCCTCTGGTCGCGCTTAGTGGAGCACACAAAACAAATTGTTCGGGTTCGTGCCCCCACGCTGCAGCCGCAGCCTCTCCCATAAGGCATCTAAATAGGACGCCCTCTCTCCAAAGCGCGCGGGGACTCCGCGCGCACTTCGGGCCTCATCGTTAGGAGGCGAACACCCCCGTGTCCACCTCCATAAGGTTAGCCGCCGTGCCATTCTGTGGCACCGACTTAGGCTTTTGCGGCGGCTGGGGGCAGTTTTTTGCCCCCAGAATGTGCTCCGGTGCCTTCCCAGCCGCTACGCATAAAAGGCAGCGGGGGTCCTTGGCCGAGCACACCTTGGCCCTATGGCCCTCTTCTCCGCAGCGGAAGCAGAATCCACTGCGGTCAATTCCAGCTGTGCACTTGAAGGCCGTATGGCCAGTGCCCCAGCAGGCGACACACCAACAGTTTTATAGCCATAAAAGTTGGCTCAAGCGTAACTACCTATTTTTTGAAGAAGTGACTCTGGATTCTTCTACAGACACATTTTTGGGGTAAAAACCTTTCCTTTAATGAAATGAAGTTTAGAACTAGGCTTTTAAATTGTGACAGTATTGGTGGGAAGTGGGAATGCATACGTTTGAAAGTGCTTGTCGCGGGAGGGCCGATTTTTGTGATGACCAGTGTATATCATTATAGAAACAGTTTTTTGGCATGGCTATTAGTTGAGTACTATGAAAGGCCCCCAAGTAGTTTCAGCCCAGGGCCCCACAAATTCACGATCCGGCCCTGCCCACGATAGATTGAAATCATAACAGATAATAAATACAAAGTCTTGACGTACGCAAATTATATCAAAGTTAATCGTTTACACATTAATTACGATGTTGCAACAGTTAGTTAATCCGATTATTTTATCTTTTTTTTTTCTTTTTGCCAGGAAGTGTTACGAACCGACACGAATTTTATTGATAAACTTCGTCACTGTCAAAAGGACGCATAACTGGCGTAATAACCCCCATGTTGGTACCCGCTGAAAACCAGCTTCGTGACTTGACGACTTGTGTGTGTCATGTCACGATTTTCGCTGAGCGGGCGCCTTTTCAGCATGGCTTAGTAATATTTAACCTCTGTACATGTATGCACATAAATGTTAATGCTGAATAAAGGTATTCTATTCTATTCTATTCTATTATCATCATCTACTAAAGGACGCCCCTAAGTACAAATGCTGGGACGAAACTCTTGTAGTAGTATGTTCAATGCATTTTTACGCTATAACAAACAATAGCCCGTGGTCTTAACTCCATAAGCATAAGCCATAAGCTTAAAATTCAATACATTTTTGCAGAATGGCACGTTGAAGCTTTTAGAAAAGCGTAAATCTATCACAAAAGAATCCAAAAATAGGCATAATTTAGGAATTATGACCTAAATTCCCGAGACATTTACGCCCGTATTCACAAACATTACTATGAGGCATAGAGGAATATGTATGAGGTCTCACAGTGATCACGGACGCATAGGGTACACATTTCATGAACGAATCACAGAGCTCTTCAACGCTGTGCGTTTGATTTGCTGCTTCGCAAACATCGTTTGCGAATACGGGCATTAGACTGATTGGTTCTTCAAAACAAACAAAGCAGCTTTATAATAATTAAAACAATTGAGTCACGTTTTCAGCCAAATGACGTCCACTGCTGGACAAAGGCCTCCCCCAAGGTTTTCCACAATGAACGGTCCTGCGCTGCCCGCATCCAGGCTCTTCCCGCGACCTTCACCAGATCGTCGGTCCACCTAGTAGGAGGCCTGCCCACGCTACGTCTTCCAGCCCGTGGTCGCCACTCGAGAACTTTAATACTATGGCTCTTACGCATCCTACGATACAAACATATTTACAAACATTCTTATCCATTTACTATATTAATATGAATTAAAATTACGCTTTATGGTATCTGATTAATAATCAAATCATATCAATTAATTAAACCGATAAAGCCTATGCAGTCAGTATTGTTATTACGTTATTGAAAATCCTTTTCCATCCTATTTGATACTTATCTCTTGATATGAAGGGTAAAAGGCCGATAGAGGTTACTAGCTGTGCCCGCGGCTTCGTACGCGTGAAAATTGTTTGAGTAAGTTTTCCCGCTTTCACAACATTTTTATTGTTGCTCTGCCTTCTTCGATAAATGGGCTACATCCTATACAAAAATATTTTTTCAAAACGTTCCAGTGGTCCTGAAATTAGCGCCTTAAATGAAAACAAACAAAATCTTCAGCTTTAATATTAGCATAGATATGGGACTCCCTTCGAAAATAATCAACTGAAAACCATGAAAACCTCTGGTCTCGTAAGTGGTGGAGACATAATTACTACATGGGTTGTGTTTGTTCGCCAAAAAAAGGGGTATAATTAAGTAGAGCCACAGATTATAATTACATTACTAGTGTAGAGCGAAGACTGAAACTTCGGTGCTGGGCATAGAGTCGTTAATTCCTCTATGGTGCTGGGGCAAAGATGAAAATGATTTATGATTAGTATTTTATAAAAATACGGTCCTGTAATTTCTTTGTTGAGATTATTTCTATTTTACAAGAGTCGACCTTTCCCCTTCGCCCCACACTGCTGCCCTTTTCGTATTTTTAACTCCACCCTATAGCAGAACGGCGCGGGTAAATTGCTGAAAGTACAGGGCTCTGGGTTCAGTATTTTAATGTCTATAACTTTTTATAGAGATCATTCATCTCTTTCGTACCTAGGTATGTGTAAATGTATATCTTCATCACCTGAAGCTATCCACGAAAACCCACTGATTGCGATATGGAAATACCATTTGACGGAAAACCAATTACCTATTCAATTAGCCAAAACTTAATTTAATAAATCAACTTCATTGATACATGACAACGCATTTAGATAATCAATTAGTTAAAAATTATGATAAGGATGGCGTTATTTATATGAGGTGATTGTTTGAACTACGCCTGTGTTGTGAGGACCCTGGTTAGGCGAAGATGTTGCGGCTAATTCTGGTCTCGTGTGTGGTGGGGGCAGCCCTGGCTACCCCTGCAGTGGTCAGGTCCAAGGAGGAGATCGAAGCCTTCAGGCACTTCTTGGAAAGCACTCAGAATGGTGAGCGAATTTAAAATAATATTGTCTATTAAGAAGCATGTTAAGAAGTATATTTTGCCCCTTTTCTTTTTCTTATTGGCTTCACCCACGTGAAATTCAGTCTGACACAGATCGCTAAAAGTTACAGACTTAAAGTTACAGTATTTTGACTTTTAAACCATAAAAGGTACCTACTTTATTAATACTGTCAAGTTTCTTCAAAACTTTCAGTTAGTTTTTGCATGAAAGTGAAAACATCCAAGACCATTAATTTGACCATCCATCCTTACTAACTTTAAGCACTGTGCACAGTGGTGAGTTAATCTATGTAGAGCTGAAAGTTAAAATTAGATGAAAAACGACGTAAATACGCGATAGCGTGTCAAGCCAAGTTCAAGTAACATTACTATTTTACTAGGCTATGCTGCTGAAATTAAACTAAAATCACCTCAACTTAAAAAGCTCTGCAACTATAGTTCTAGAATCACCAAACAATACAACTAACTCTTAGGGCCCTCGCCCACGGCAACGTTTAAGAAACGCGCGACAGCATTGCTACTAACGCGCGTTAGTCGCATTTGCATCGCACTACAGAAGCACACAGAAGTGATGCCAACGCGCTACTAACGCGCTACAGCAGCGCGACTGCATCACTACAAAAAGTCGCCGTGGGCGAGGGCCCTTAGCACTATAAAGGACTCTGTTTATTCTCTTTTGTTTTTTCTTCACTATCCTAATTCTCTAGAGGAGGGCCACCGCTTCCTCAAGTCATCTCCGATGGCGAACGCCGAAGAGAACAGCGGCAAGTACCAGGGAGACATTCTGCTCGACGACTTCATCATCAAGGATATGCTGATGCAGTACGCCATGGGAAGAAACGCGTACACCTGGCCGAACACCAAGTGGCCGAAGAACGAGGTCATTTGGGAGTTCGGAGAGGGCGAGTTTGGTGAGTGCCTTATCTTAATACTCTTTTCAGGGTTACGAGGTTTTGTCACCTGACGTCCGCTTTGCGCTGGAGAGAAGTCGAATCTTAACTTCGAACTTCTCAGGGCCGTCTTTAACCTATAAGAGGCCCTGGGCACTTAAGGATAGGGAGGCCCTTATCATCTGGAAAAAGGTCTTTTGAGCAGACGGGAGCCTCCTTGTGCACGTGCCCAAAGTGCTCAGCGGGAAAGAGGGGCCTGCTCCTCTTAGGTTTTTCGGATTAATTTCGTTGCAGGTCCAATGACAGTTTAACTTTCCCGGGGACTTGAACTTCACTGGTTGGGTTTTTGTTGGTGGTCAAGCTGGAAACAGGCTGCACAGGAGTTGCAGCAATGGGAATAGTTCCGTAACTGCCTAGTGTATAGACGACAGCACATTGGACTAAACATTTTCGTAGCAAAATAGCCCGTAAAAACAGTATAAAATGTGTTCAAAAGCTTGAGGTGCCGTCGTCTGTAGATACTTCACTTCAGATGACACTTTTAGTACAAAATAGCACCAATAACATTACAACTTACATAGTAGTCTCCCGGGTCTGAGGGTGTCTACTTATGGGTGGCGGTAAAAAGTTACCATCGTGATCCGTTTGCTCGTTTGCCTCCTGTCTAATAAAAAAAACTTAAGAAATATTTTAGTTGGTGCTGTTGTCCGTGCTTTGATGAATAAATAAAACAAGTAACAGTGTCAGCATTTAAACGCTTTTCAGAGTCGGCATTGAAAAAGTGCGCAATGTACATTTAAAATAATGTTCAGGGGTGTGAAAACAATAATCCTGAAATGTCACAATAACTCTACGTAGGTATTTTAAAATATTGAAGTCGTCACATTAGGTACGTTTGACCCTGAAAAAGGACTATGTCATTATTGTGACGAAATCATGATAAAAATTAAATTAATTACATTATTAACAGATATTTATCAGTACTAATTAAACTAATTAGACATGAGATCGTTTGTCTTATCGTCGGGTTTTTATTGATTTTTTTGATAATCAGATTGAGGATGATGAACTAGTTTTGTTTTTATTATTATTACGTAACAAAATTGTAGCTATTAAAAGTCAGGAGTTTGATTCCATGCCTGAATAATTAAGGACTAACATAGACACTTTCAAGTTACTTCAAAGTCTATGTTTGGTTTTGTAAAAGTTTCGATTGATTCCAGAATCCAGATTCAGGTACATTTGTATCAATGAAATATGAACAGTTGGCTCTATCTGGTACATTTAAACTAATAAATACTTTNACATTTTCCCATAAATGAATTACCAATCTTATGCAATCTGAAATTTGGAACGGCAAGTTTATTTTTGTTTCTTGTATTAAAGTTATGCAAATCGCTCTTTTTCGTGAATTGCTCTATATTTTTGCGGACATATAAAAGGTTTTCATAAATGAACTGTGAAGCTACTGTCAGTATGTTTATTTCCTTAAAAAAATCTTTCAAGTATCAGAATTTAACGTTCATCAGAGTAGGAATTGAAAAAGTGCGCATTGTCCATTTAAAATTATGTTCAGGGGTATGAAAACGTCACAATAACTGAAATGTCACATACATTCGTAGGTATTTTAAAATACTGAAATGTCACAATTACGTTTGAACCTGAAAAAGGACTATGACATTATTGTGACGAAATCATGACAATAAAATTTAAATTAATTAGATTTTAAACAGATATTTATTTTATCAGTAATTAAACTAATTAGACATGAGGTCGTTTGTCTTATCGTCGGGTTTTTATTGATTGTTTTGATAATCAGATTGAGAATGATGGGCTAGTTTTGTTTTCATTATTATTATATTATGTAACAAAATTGTAGCTACTAAAAGTCAGGAGTTTCGATTCCATACCTGAATTAAGGACTTACAAGGCACTTTCAAGTTACTTCAAAGTCTATGTTTGGTTTTGTAAAAGTTTCGATTGATTCCAGAATCCAGATTCGGGTACATTTGTATCAATGAAATATGAACAGTTAGCTGTATCTGGTACATTTAAACTAATAAATATTTTCAGGACCCCTGCAGCAGGAAGCTATTCTCGAAGGCATCAGGGACATCGAAAGGCACACTTGCGTCAAGTTCCGCTACCGTGAGCCTGAAGACACCGTTTTCGTGAGAGTTACCGTAAGTAGATTATGACATTGACGACTAACAAAGATAAATAGAATATACACATAGGTACCAATACATAAACAACCATGACTCCGCCCAGTTTGAACTAGGCGTCTAGAATTCCCGTGAATTCCAGAAAATGTGTTTAAACTATTCCAGAGGGACGAACTTGCACGCGGACCACCAAGCTAGAAACAGCTGTAAAAAAGTCACAAAATAAGGGTAGACAAAAAAACTTTAGTATTATTCGTGGCAGCTTATTATACCTAACTTATTATAGATCCTTTCATCCACGAAGACGTGCCTCACCATTCTTCAGCTAATGTTTGAGTGTTATCGGTTACGCTAAATTATCCGTAAATGCATACGCAGACTACAATAATGACGTTCGGATTGCTCGGATCAAACTCCCCACACCCCGCGCTTTCCTCGACTAAAAATTAGTGGGGTGCGTCTTCGTGGATTAAACGATCTACACTAGGACGCTGATCTTCTGCGGACACCTTATTTGTTCCATCAACAACGCGCATCCTCTAATGGTTATCTTCTCTCTCCTTTAGGGTGGAGCTGGTGGCTGCTTCGCCCACGTCGGCTACTGGGAGGAGCGAGGCGTCCACACCCTCAACCTGGCTCGCAACTTCCCCGGAGTGGCCTGCTTCCGCCACGCCACCATCGTCCACGAGTGGATGCATATCCTGGGCTTCCTTCACATGCAGTCCACTTACGACAGGGACAACTACGTCAAGATTGTCGAGGAGAACCTCATTGCTGGTAAGACTGCTACACCACCTGTTATAGTCTTCAAGGGTACTCTGTTAAGTAGCTTCAGGTTTATCTGTCACCATCGCTCAAGCTGGCATCTGGCTTTGGATGAGAGAGATGGCAACATTCGAAACTTCTTTCAGAGTCAAGGTCAAGGCAGACTTATCTACTCGGAAAGGGATTAACACGGTATCGCTTTTTTCGAGCTGTAATCGCCATTCGCGCGCTGTCAACCGCGAGGCGAGGCGTTTAAGTTACGGTACGGATAAGTGTGCGTTGCAGTATAGAGTTTCATACAAAGAACTCGAGTTGATACGGTTACGATTCTTTTCCAGGTTGATAAATGTGCTATGTCCTTAACCTTAATTAAGTAAATAAAAAGGAGTTGTTAGACTTAGTTCACTTCACAATGTGAAACGAGCGCAACCCCCAATGGACAACTGTATGATGCAGGTTAAAGGGAATCCGATGTTTATTAAAACAGTCTCGTCTAATTTTCTGAGTCGATTTAATTTGTCTTTAATTAAGATTTAGTCAGAGACGTATTCAGCACTCAGTACGATGATGTTATTGACAGATTCTATGATATTTTCTTAGGAACTGAGCACAACTTCGACATTTACACGTCGGACTTGGTCGACAATCTGGGTGTGGAGTACGACTACGTGAGCTGCCTGCACTACGGGCCTTACGCGTTCAGCAACAACGGAGAGAAGACCATCGTCGCTTTGCAGGTCAGTTTCCAAATAAGGAACACAAAAGAACACATTTTGGTCATACCTAAGGTGCACAGCTCAACTAAATAACACTCGTAAGCTACGGAGCTCACTCAACTACTCGAAATACCTACTTAAAACAGTAAATTAATCTGAATGCCATTGGTATAAGAAGGCGCCGACTCTGGTTGAGAGTATAATAGACTATGCACAGAATGTCCAACTGTGACGACGACCCCGTAGGCCTAGGATGCGCGTCGCAATAAGCGTTTATCACGCCATTTTATCGATTTTACGCGAGAAGCCCATACATTATTCGTATAAAATCATCGATAAGATTTATCACGGCGAGCATCACAGCCCGGCTTGGTCGATAAAATTGATCCATGATGATCTTGGTGTTTAGTACTGTTTAGACCACAGAATTGGTTTATGTTACTGTTTTGCTTAGTGCATCATAGAGAGGAGAGGAGACATCACAGTCACAGTGGTTCAACGTTAAGAAGTATTTTTGAAACACAGTTTCAGGGATTTAAACCTCACAGGCTCGTAAAACAAAAGCAATTTAGTTCGACCAATGTTTTAGAAGATGTTCTTCATAATTTTCATTTATTACAGGAACATGAAGGCGTGATGGGCCAGCGCGAGTACATCACAGATAAGGACTGGCTGCGCATCAACAGGCACTACGAGTGTCCCCATGCCTGGGACTGAGAACTTTCCACAATTAACTAGTTATTTTTGTACCGACTGACAATTAAAACAATTATTTGATACAATTCTTGTTTTATTAATTAGAAAATATGGTGTTTTCGTAAACTAAGTTTCGTACATAGTTTCGTAGGATAAGGAATTTTCTAGATCATAGGAACAGTATCGCATTTCTCTTTGAGTGATGGAGACAGTTAATCTAAGTAAAGCTTTCAAATAGGATAAAAATATGTAAACCATATTATTCTCAATGCAACATCATATAGTGCGTTGCTTAGGGTTCAGCACATGATGTAATTGAGTTCTGGGATTTTTTGGAAGAAAAAAATTTATTACATTTCAAATTCTTTCTTATGTAGGAATTTTAGACACGTCCCAGTATAGCTTGCCTTACCACCAGTCACTTTTGTTGACATCTTATTTTTGGCATAGCTTTTTAGACCATTGAAGGTCCGGAGTACTAAAGGGAACTTTCTCTATTATTTTCAGAGTTTTATTTTGAACATTAAAAGCAAAAACAAATGGAGTGGAATTAGTTTTTATTCAAACAGTCCTAACATTACACCTGGTCGTTATCTTCAAGCAGTTCCATTTCATCAGCGAACTTGTTGTCAGCGGGAATCTCAACCACCTGTCCGTCTTCCATCACGTAGTTGGTGGACCTAGCCTTCAACTCGGCGGCGGCACTCCAAGCCCCGGGGCAGTTGTAGTGCCGGGCCAGACGCCAGATGTCGAGCCCAGTCACCATGTGGGTCTGACCTAATACGCCGCCGTAATGCTGGAATATTTCGAACAGTAAGATACAGTAAAGAAAACACTACAATTTACTTGAAGATAATGGTAATGTAACGGAAAACGCAGCGTGGGACGTCCACCCACAAGGTGGACCGACAACATCGTAAAGGTAGCAGGAAGGCGCTGGACACAGGCCGCTACCAACCGGGAAACATGGAAAGCATTGGAGGAGGCCTATTTATGTTCAGCAGTAGACGTCCTATGGCTGAGATGATGATGATGATGAATGGTAATGGATGATTAGGGCGAAGGGTTTGTGGTGACTTTCCACCAAGCCTGCGGCGTCGCTCGAGCAGCGGAGCAGTGAGCATGCGCCGAACTTTCGTTTCGTTCAGATTGGACCTGGCTCAATCTCATAAGCGGGAGCGGGTTGCTCCGAAATTTGGATTGAGGGTCCAAGTTAAGATTGTGGTTGACAGTCACCACAGGTTTTTGATATTGTGCATGCCTCTTAAAATCTATCAGGATTAGGTGTTTTGATATAGCTTAAGTATGAATAAAATTTAAGATGATAATGTCATTTTGAAGAATCAACAAAGAAACTGCTAAGATTGGAATGATCTGACTGAATTATCAAAAAATGTAGAATAATTTAAAACAATTTAGCTTTTTCTGGGCACCAAAAGCTTTTACTGCTCTTACATCTGCTTAGCTGTACCAATTTATCTGCCTGTAAATCGTGCAACTTCCATACCTCCACAGGGAAAATATTTATTAATTTTCTGCTTACCCTGGTAGTGGAAAGAGTGGGGCGTCCATTACTGCTGAAGAAGTGGGTTCCGTAGTGCATGCAGCTGCTGTACTCGTAAGGTAGACCCAAGTTTGAGGTGATGTCGTTCCCGTAGCGGTCGAAGTTGTGTTCCATGCCTGTGAAACATTGTTTAAAGATATTTTAATTCAAGTAGATAAATAAGGAAATGCACTCCTAATCCATAATATGGAACCGTTTAAAAGTCTATTCACAAATACAGTGAAGCCACAGTTAATCAAAGTTTCGCTCAGGTGCTGCAGCGTCGATGATTCAAGAACTGAGTGTACTGACATATCAGAAGTACTTCGTTCTTTAGTGATACGTCCGTGACTACCCGTCCGTAACTGAACTGAAAGAACACGTTGACGGAACTGTGACTGTGGCTTCACGGATAAGTAATATTTAAATGTGAATGCGTAACCTCGCTTCCCATCGAGCGATGGCGATCTGCACGTGTTGGTATGGTTGAAGTTTAAGTTAACTAGGTACCTAACCCTATAATTTCCTTCATCTGATCACTCTATTTTCCGTACCTCGCTCGATGTTCTCCCAATGGATCCGGACGTAGTTGTACCTATTGTAGGTAGTAGGGGAACCTGTTGTACTTAGGCCAGTTTTTCAAATTTTGATTTTTTGAAAAATAATGGTGATAGTTAAACTTGTCTAGTGCTGTTATATTTAAAGATCATTTAATTAGCTACATAATTCATTCATAAAATTGTGTATAATTTTAAAAATTTGGGCATACTAGCTGCTAGAAAAAAAAAGGGAAAACTGTCCTAGGTACAACAAACCAGATGTACCTTGGACCGTGTACGTTGTACCTATTTAAATTTAAATAAATGCTTATATTAGCTTCAATTTGTTAATTTTCTGTTAAATTATTATTTGAAATACCAATTATTACAGTTATTAGCAACAATATCTAGGTAAAAGTATTTTTTAAAAAAGATCCTCATCCATATTTTCTGTACTTAATTATTTTTCACAATTTTTTGGCAACAAATCACTTAAGTTTAAGCCGGCTCTCCAGTCCATGTTTAGCCTTACACAATCAACAAAAATATGACAATATTCAACATTTTTTCTAGAAAATTTTGGTGAATGTTGATATATTATGTCGTGTAGGACAAAATACGCGCTGGAGTGGCTTTAACTTGCCCCCACGTCAGTGTTTACGTGAAATTAAATCTACCTCAGTAGCTAAAGGTTAAGTAGTTTCAGGTCTATGTGTCACCATCGCTCCTGGCATCTGGCTTTGGATGAGAGAGATGGCAACATTCGAAACTTCTTTCAGAGTAAAGGTCATGGCAGACTTATCTACTCGGAAAGGGATCAACACGGACCACGGTATCGCTTTTCAGTGTGCGTTGCAGTATAGAGTTTCATACAAAGAACTGACCGCCTCGAGTTGATACGGTTACGTTACGATTCTTTTCCAGGTTGATAAAATGTGCTACGTCCTTAACCTCGCTTAATTAAGTAAATGAAAAAGTGTTGTTAGACTTATTTCACTTCACAGTGTGAAACGAGCGCAACCCCCAATAGACAACTGTATGATGCAGGTTAAAGGGAATCCGATGTTTATTAAAACAGTCTCGTCTAATTTTCTGAGTCGATTTAATTTGTCTTTAATTAAGATTTAGTCAGAGACGTATTCAGCACTCAGTAAGATGATGTTATTGACAGATTCTATGATATTTTCTTAGGAACTGAGCACAACTTCGACATTTACACGTCGGACTTGGTCGACAATCTGGGTGTGGAGTACGACTACGTGAGCTGCCTGCACTACGGGCCTTACGCGTTCAGCAACAACGGAGAGAAGACCATCGTCGCTTTGCAGGTCAGTTTCCAAATAAGGAACACAAAAGAACACATTTTGGTCATACCTAAGGTGCACAGCTCAACTAAATAACACTCGTAAGCTACGGAGCTCACTCAACTACTCGAAATACCTACTTAAAACAGTAAATTAATCTGAATGCCATTTTATCGATTTTACGCGAGAAGCCCATACATTATTCGTATAAAATCATCGATAAGATTTATCACGGCGCGCATCACAGCCCGGCTTGGTCGATAAAATTGATCCATGATGATCTTGGTGTTTAGTACTGTTTAGACCACAGAATTGGTTTATATTACTGTTTTGCTTAGTGCATCATAGAGAGGAGAGGAGACATCACAGTCACAGTGGTTCAACGTTAAGAAGTATTTTTGAAACACAGTTTCAGGGATTTAAACCTCACAGGCTCGTAAAACAAAAGCAATTTAGTTCGACCAATGTTTTAGAAGAGATGTTCTTCATAATTTTCATTTATTACAGGAACATGAAGGCGTGATGGGCCAGCGCGAATACATCACGGACAAGGACTGGCTGCGCATCAACAGGCACTACGAGTGTCCCCATGCCTGGGACTGAGAACTTTCCACATTTAACTAGTTATTTTTGTACCGACTGACAATTAAAACAATTATTTGATATAATTCTTGTTTTATTAATTAGAAAATATGGTGTTTTCGTTAACTAAGTTTCGTAGAATATGGACTTTTCTAGATCGCAAATGGAAACTAGGTACGCACTAAATGTCATTGTGTTGTCGGCCATTTGGTGTAGTGGTTCAGAACGGACTACTATGCCGAGAGGTCCCGGAAAATCCTAAAATTTTCTTTTATTTTCATAGCGGGCCCAATCCTGGAACCTCAGCCTGGAACCAACTAACCTCATTGGTTGGGTTTTTATTGGCGGTCATGCTGAAGACTCTGGCTACATATAATTTGCTTAGACTGGCTTTTTATCTTAAAAACTAGCCACTAGGAGATAAAGGAACATATATCTTAGGGAACAGTTTCGTCCTTTATCGCTTTGAGTGATGGAGATAGTGAAGAGTGAAGCTTTCGAATTGGATAAAAATTAAACATTTTCTTGATGAAATATAATCGTAAGTACGTCGCCAATATGTTTTGTTCGGCAGATGTGAACTGAGTGCAGGGATTTTTGGATAGCTTCCTACCACCACTTCGGGACAACACATCGGCTGGCTGGTGCTAAGAAAAAGTGTCGGAAGAAACTCAGTCACTTTTATTAACCTTTAAGGGGATTTCCAGCATCTAGCTATTTAAACCATTGTAAGAAGGGACTCTAATTGGGACTCTAACGTTATTTTCAGAGTTTTATTATGAACATTAAAAGCAAAAACAAATGGAGTGGAATATTTTTTTATTCAGACAGAAATCCTAACATTACACCTGGTCATTATCTTCGAGCAGTTCCAGTTCATCAGCGAACTTGTTGTCTGCGGAAATCTCAACAACCTGTCCGTCTTTCATTACGTAGTTGGTGGTCCGGGCCTTCATCTCAGCGGCGGCGCTCCAAGCCCCGGGACAGTTGTAGTGCCGGGCCAGACGCCAGATGTCGAGCCCAGTCACCATGTGGGTCTGACCTAATACGCCGCCGTAATGCTGGAATATTTCGAACAATAAGATACAGGAAAGAAAACACTACAATTTACTTGAAGATAATGGTAATGTAACGGAAAACGCAGCGTGGGACACAAAGTGGAACGACAACGTCGTAAAGGTAGCAGGAAGGCGCTGGACACAGGCCGCTACCAACCGGGCAACATGAAAAGCATTGGGGGAGGCCTATCTATGTTCAGCAGTAGACGTCTTATGGCTGAGATGATGATGATGATGAAGATGAATGATAATGGAAATATTAGGGCGAAGGGTTTGTGGTGACTTTCCACCAAGCCTGCGTCGCTCGCGAAGCGGAGCAGAGCATGCGCTGAACCTTCGTTCGTTCAGATCGGACCTGGCCCAATTTCATAAGAGGAAGCGGATTGCTCCGAAATCTGAAGTGAGGGTCCAAGTTAAGATTGTGGTTGACAGTTTTCTGATATGAAGGCAAAATGTGCATGCCTATTCGAATCTACCAGGATATAAGTAATGAATAAGATGTTAAAGATGACATTTTAATGAATCAACAAAGAAACTGCTAAGATTGGAATGATCTGACTGAACTATTCTGAAATGTAGAATAAAACGATTAAGCTTTTTCTGGGCACCAAAAGCTTTTACTGCTCTTACATCTGCTTAGCTGTACCAATTTATCTGCCTGTAAATCGTGCAACTTCTATACCTCCACAGGGAAAATATTTATTAATTTTCTGCTTACCCTGGTAGTGGAAAGAGTGGGGCGTCCATTACTGCTGAAGAAGTGAGTTCCGTAGTGCATGCAGCTGCTGTACTCGTAAGGTAGACCCAAGTTTGAGGTGATGTCGTTCCCGTAGCGGTCGAAGTTGTGTTCCATGCCTGTGAAACATTGTTTAAAGATATTTTAATTCAAGTAGATAAATAAGGAAATGCACTCCTAATCCATAATATGGAACCGTTTAAAAGTCTATTCACAAATACAGTGAAGCCACAGTTAATCAAAGTTTCGCTCAGGTGCTGCAGCGTCGATGATTCAAGAACTGAGTGTACTGACATATCAGAAGTACTTCGTTCTTTAGTGATACGTCCGTGACTACCCGTCCGTAACTGAACTGAAAGAACACGTTGACGGAACTGTGACTGTGGCTTCACGGATAAGTAATATTTAAATGTGAATGCGTAACCTCGCTTCCCACCGAGCGATGGCGATCTGCACGTGTTGGTATGGTTGAAGTTTAAGTTAACTAGGTACCTAACCCTATAATTTACTTCATCTGATCACTCTATTTTCCGTACCTCGCTCGATGTTCTCCCAATGGATCCGGACGTAGTTGTACCTATTGTAGGTAGACTGCATGTGGAAAAAGCCGAGCACATGGTACCACTCGTGCACGATGACGACCCAGTTGAAGCAGCCCCAGCCTGGCTGCGACCGAGCCAAGTTCAACGTGTGGATGCCCCTGTTCTGGTGGAAGCCCACGCTAGCGTAGCAACCAGTGGGCCTTCCCTGTGAAATATTCCAAACGCATTAGCAGTCAAGGCCTGTGCGTCCACGTGATCTGTGAGACCTCATAGTAATGGTTGTGAATACGGGCGTTAATTACTGGATGGGCGAAGTTAGGAGCGTTCTCAGCTCGAACATCTAGTTCATCATCTCCCAAAACGTAGACAGCCTAGTTATGATTTTATGAATAACATGAGCTCATTGGTACATTCAAGGTCAATGTGTGTAGCTTGACGTGCAGCCACCTTGTACTTACAGTGAGCCTGACGAAGTTACGGTCGTTGTTGTTCCTGACTCGGAACCGCACGCACGTGCGCTCCTGGAGCAGGTTGATGGTCTGGATGATGTACCTTTGCTGATCCAAGTCTGAAGAAGAAGAGAACAGAATAAGTAATTAGGTTCTACTATACTAGTAAAAGTTTACATCTATAAAATGAATCATTATCATCATCTAAATTTCAGCCATAGAACGTCCGCTTCTGAACATACGAGTAGACCAATGATTTCAAGATTGACTGGTCCTAGCGGCCTGCATGCATCCAGCGTCTTCCTGCAAACTTTCCCAAGTAGCATTTTACTCCATTTAAGAGTTCACATTTAGTTCCAATGTGTACTTAAAGAATTAGTACAGTTCACTCGTGATGTATAAGCTGTATTATTGCAATTAATTACACCTATACCTGTCTAAGGGACTTATAGGAGTGTAGACTAGTAGAGTTATACCTATACGATTGTTGGTGTTATAATACTCTAATAACTATCCTTTAGTCAGCCATCTGACTAAGAGCATTATAGGAGGGTAGAGATACGGCAACCGCTGTTTAACGGCCTACTTGTACGATGTTATAGAGCTATCATTTTATAGAACACACGTGGTCATTTATAAAGCCAAAGGCTGTTATGTTTACTTGGTTTAGACTGTTATACAGCTCGTAGCTGTAGTAGGACTTGTTTGTGATAATTAAAATAACCATTTTTTACTATCNTGGGTTCCGTAGTGCATGCAGCTGCTGTACTCGTAAGGTAGACCCAAGTTTGAGGTGATGTCGTTCCCATAGCGGTCGAAGTTGTGTTCCATGCCTGTGAAACATTGTTTAAAGATATTTTAATTCAAGTAGATAAATAAGGAAATGCACTCCTAATCCATAATATGGAACCGTTTAAAAGTCTATTCACAAATACAGTGAAGCCACAGTTAATCAAAGTTTCGCTCAGGTGCTGCAGCGTCGATGATTCAAGAACTGAGTGTACTGACATATCAGAAGTACTTCGTTCTTTAGTGATACGTCCGTGACTACCCGTCCGTAACTGAACTGAAAGAACACGTTGACGGAACTGTGACTGTGGCTTCACGGATAAGTAATATTTAAATGTGAATGCGTAACCTCGCTTCCCATCGAGCGATGGCGATCTGCACGTGTTGGTATGGTTGAAGTTTAAGTTAACTAGGTACCTAACCCTATAATTTCCTTCATCTGATCACTCTATTTTCCGTACCTCGCTCGATGTTCTCCCAATGGATCCGGACGTAGTTGTACCTATTGTAGGTGGACTGCATGTGGAAGAAGCCGAGCACATGGTACCACTCGTGCACGATGACGACCCAGTTGAAGCAGCCCCAGCCTGGCTGCGACCGAGCCAAGTTCAACGTGTGGATGCCCCTGTTTTGGTGGAAGCCCACGCTAGCGTAGCAACCAGTGGGCCTTCCCTGTGAAATATTCCAAACGCATTAGCAGTCAAGGCTTAATTATTGACTAACGCCCGTATTCACAAACGATGCTTGCTTAAGTGAAGCAGCAAATCGAACGCACAGCGTTGAATAGAGCTCTGTGATTGGTTCGTGTGTTATCCTGAGCGTCCACGCGATCTGTGAGACCTCATAGTAATGTTTGTGTATACGAGCGTTATTTACTGGATGGGCGAAGAAAGTTAGGTGCGTTCTCAGCTCGAACATCTAGTATAACATGCCATCTCCCAAAACGTAGAGTTTTAGCCTTGTTAAGATTATACGAATAATTTGACTTCATTGTTACATTCGAGGCCACCGTGTGTAGCTTGACGTACTGTCGTCCGTACTTACAGTGAGCCTGACGAAGTTACGGTCGTTGTTGTTCCTGACTCGGAATCGCACGCACGTGCGCTCCTGGAGCAGGTTGATGGTCTGGATGATGTACCTTTGCTGATCCAAGTCTGAAAAAATAAAAATATGTAAGAAAGACAAAACACACATCTAAATTTAATAAATTTAGTGAAATTTTAAATTACATAAAAAAAACTTAGATAAAATGATCATTATCATCATCAAAATAGCCACAGGACGTTCGCTGCTGAACATTGGCCAATAATTTTATGATTGGTCGGTTGATACGTCCTCGGAGCGTCTCCGTGCAACCTTTATGAGGTCGTCTATCCACCTTGTGGCCATGATTACTTGATCGCTAAAAAGTGCATGCACTCACTGAATTCATTGGCTCCAAACTCATACACGACGGTGTTGCTCGGCCAACGGCTGTTGGGTCTGATGTACGCCATGCGGCCCTCGTCGTCTCCAGCGGCGTAGTTGTCCACCAAATCTTCGATCAGGTCATCATCCAGGAAGATATCACCTTCAAACTTCCCGCTGTTCTCCCAGGGGTTTGACTGGGGGTGGGCTTCCATGCGGTCCTCGAGGGTCAAGCCATCGTCTGTAATAAGAATTTGATGATAGGTACTTCTGCTTCTAATTAACATTAACTATCTTTTCGTTGGTCTAAACATTGCTATCAGAGATAGAGATAGGAAAATATTATTTAATGACGGATACAGTTAAGCCTTTGTTTAAAAGGAGATTTTTATCTAATTTTACCATTTTTTTAACTAAGTATTTCTTTCGTGTTGCGTGTCTACTTTGTGGGTAAAAGCTAGGATGATTTTGTGAGCCTACAAAACAAGCAATGGGGCTAGTTCCGATATGGAAACGGAAGTCATATTTTTTTTTTGCAAGACAAGGCAGGTATTTGACCGCAGTCGCACCTGATGTTAAGTGCACGAGATGCAGTCTAGGTAAATAGTGTGAGACGGTTGACTATGATGATCCAAGTTGCTGTACCAGCCCACTTTTGTCACAAGATCTCCCGATTCTATTGCCACAAACTGCACCTACCTTCTCTGGTCCTCTCCAGGATCGTCTTGTACTCCTCGATCTCTGCCCTGGTTTTGAGCACCCTGGGGCCAGCAGCCACCAGCGTCAGCAAACACGACAGAGCCAGGAGCCTGATCATTGTGCCGTTTGGTGGATTTTAGCTCAACACCTATTTATAAGGCGGCGGATTGCATTTGTTATACCTAATTAATTGTTAATCCGATTAAATATGCCAAGGGATTGATAAATCAAATTATGTATATTGTTATTTTTATAAATATAATAATGTCAGTTTATTAAAGTGTCTGTTTGTGATTAGGTACTTATACAGCACAGCAAGGCACATAGCGTAGAAGTACATAATATAAAGTTTGAATTACGTTGAATAGACTTCAGCACAGGTGCGCACCACCACCAGGTTTATAAGCACCGCAGATAAAATACAAGTGTAATCATTTATAAATACTTAACTAAGTACTGTTACTTCTTATCTAATGACAATTTGTAAACCTACCTTCCTTTTCTGGTCCTGTGCGCACGTTTTGTAGAGATTAGTTAACACCAGCCCTCGGGAATTAAGTTGGTGCAATGCTACCCATCACAAGTGCTGCTTCTTCCATCATCAGACTTGTTCCAGAATCCAGAGATTTTTGCAAGTATACAGCCTGAAAGTAAGTATTGCAAATAAATGAATTTATTTATAAAATTTATTTAAGACAGAGTCAGGAACCAAAACAAAGGTGTATCGCGGCAAGTTTGCATTCTACAATATCTTATCAATATCTGTTAGGTACCTACTTTGATTAATCATTTTTGCAAAGGATAAAGCTAATTCATTATTTTTATCTATAAAAATAAACAAATAAAAATAATTAAGTGTTTGTCTGTGATTTTGTAGGTATTAGATATTTTGTTAGTTATTTTTCACTAACATTGGGTGTTGATCCATTACTTTTACAGGTAAATTACTTGGTAGGTAGCTACCGACTTATTTTTATTTTTCATATACCTACCTACCTATTTGTTTATTTTTGTTTTCATAAACAAACATTAGGCGATTAGGGAGGCGTCTGGATGCGAGCGGCGCAGGACCGGTCTTTGTGGAAATCCTTGGAGGAGGCCTTTGTCCAGCAGTGGACGTCTTTCGGCTGAAACGACGAAACAAAAATTGATTGTCGTTTACTTAAAACTAGTACGGAATCCTAAACATCAATGAAACTTGATTGATTAAAATCAACATGTCATGCAGTCAGGGTCAGGAATGCACTCATATGAATTTACGTAAGGGCTTGTACACAAAACTGATACGAATTGCTATTGAGAGTTCGTAGATTTTACTGTGGATATCGCACGCAGTTTGGTATTACTACAAGCCTTAAGAACTGAATTACATTAGGTATTGTTTATTAATACTTAGGTACTCAACGCAAAAACTTACACGTGTATTTATTTGTTATATAGTTGGACTGAGTCGATAAATAGCCCAAATGGTGAGTGAGTGAGGGTGTCCGACTGGCCGACTCATGATCCGAGGACCGCGGGTTCGAACCCGGCGCCGCTGTTGGACTGGTGGATCCGTGGATATTTTGCTTAGCACGAGGAGTTAGCGGGACTATTAGTAATGTGTGTCATACGAGTGTGGCATACACATAAGGTACAAATTATTAACATTCTTTAAAAAAAAATGCATTGGAATATTTAGTTAAAAAAAAAGATTGCCTTTGAGTGGGAATTGAACATACGACCTTACCGAGAACTAGGTAGGTACATTATTAGATTGCACACTATTCAGCTAGACGTACTTATCATCCTCAACGAACACTTAAAATCTTTTTAGTTTTTACACTTTCACATTTAGCGCCCGAAATGGCAACAAAAAAATGACAACATTCCCGTCGGGCTGTTCAAAAGGGCGCAAATAAAATATTATTTACAAAACACACAATCTTCTTTTTAAACTCCCCGAGGAGCGCACTGTGTTACCACGTGGCTGTGCGCGCGCTTTGATCGCTACCGAACGCGCGTCGTAAATTTTGTCAGGACAAATTTCGAGTGTCTGAAATAACAGAGCGCTCAGCCGATGATTTGATCAGATTTATTGGGTTTAAATTGAGAATTAACCGCAACGATGTCTGGGTTTTGATAGGTTAGGGACTTGATACATGATGTTTCACTTTATGGCAAAGAATCTAGGTACTGATATTATTAGATAAATGTAAGTAGTCATACTTTTATTAAGTACTATGTTTTTGTTGTATTTCTTAGTATTTCTGTTGTATTAAGTAGTTAGTAGATACTATGTTTCCGTTTAGTTGTTATTGTTAAGTTAGAACAAGAGCGAAAATTGCTTTAATAAATATAGAGGGAATCACGGACTAATCCATGTCTTTATTATTGTGTTTGGCGCCCTTAAAAGTCTTATTCATGCTCGATATAAACATCAGTTCAAAGGAAGTTTGCAAAGATCAGGTGAGAAAAGAAAAACATGGGTTAATAGGTCATTATTTTTGAACTACAACATTTATTCTTCCTCATTCTCTTCGATCAGCTCGTATTCATCAGCGAACTTGTTGTCAGCAGGCACCTCCACCACTTTTCCATCTTCCATCGCGTAGTTGGTGGTCCGTGCCTTCATCTCGGCGGCGGCGCTCCAAGCTCCGGGACAGTTGTAGTGGCGTTGCAGGCGCCAGATGTCGAAGCCAGTGATGACTGAGTTCTGGCCTAATACTCCTCCATAGTGCTGGAAGAAGAAGAATAGCCTGTTAAAAAGTGGGTAGGGGTCCTCCTTTGCTGATTATTAGTAATTGTTGGATCTCTTAGGTGTTTTAATGGGATGAGATGTGCCTACCACGAGACTATTCCCACCTCTCTTTTCTACCGCTGCAAATCCTTTGTAGCCAGGATGCTTGACCGCCAATAAAAACCCAACCAGTGAAGGTCAAGTTCGTTCGTTCGTTCGTTTCAGCCGAAAGACGTCCACTGACTGCTGGACAAAGGCCTCCCCCAAGGATTTTCACAAAGACCGGTCCTGCGCCGCTCGCATCCAGGCAAGGTCAAGTAAATTTTTCCTATTAATTTTTAGGTATTTATCAGAATTGTGTGTTACTCAATGTATTGTAATTTGGTTTGCATCTTGAACAAAAAATAAAATGAATCGCCGTACATCTGGCCTGCGCTCCTCGATGTCACATGCCATTTTAGTTAATAAACAAAAATATTTCATTTATTGCATAAATGAAATTGCCTTTGACGCCTTAAAGAAACATACAGACAGACGACCGGTGCCATTTCGTAACCAAGTTCTTACCCTGGTGGTGGAAATAGTGGGGCGCCCATTGGCACTGAAGAAGTGGGTTCCCCGTAGTGCATGCAGCTGCTGTATTCGTAAGGAAGTCCCAAGTTGGAGACGATGCTGTTATCATAACGGTCGAAGGCAAAGGCGTACCCTGTAAAAATTCGTAGTAAATCAATTCAAAATCAAGCAATATTTTCGAAATCTGCCTTTATAGTAGGTATAGGTCGCGCAGCGAAAATTGAAGCGAACGCCTACGCGTTCGCTTCAATTTTCGCTTCAATTCACAATTTCGCTTCAATGTTTCGACGTTTATTTGAATTAATAACGCTGATTGAAGAAATAATTCGTGTATTTCGATTACTTTTTAGATTAATTTACAACCGTTGTTCGTTCGTGTTTTCTTGCTGGTAATCGAGTTGAAGCTCCGCCACGTATTCTGTCGACCAGCGCCTCCAGAAATGTTGCCGTAGTTGCTCGACTCGGTCGTAGCGTGCCAGGCGACTGCTCGGCACCTCGGTGATGTCTTCGCAGGCTGGAGCGGTCAACGGTCGGCCGATGAGAAAGTGGGCGGGAGTTAAGGGTAAGAGGTCGGAAGGATCTGTAGACATAGCTGATAGAGGACGGGAATTCAGGATGGCTTCAATTAGTACTAAAACAGTGCTAAATTCCTCATATGTTAGGTGAGCATTGCCTACTATACGTCTAAGATGATGCTTGCATGATCGAACTCCTGCCTACCAAAGTCCCCCAAAATGAGCAGCGTATACTGGAATATGTTTAAATTTTATGCCATCGTTGGCAGTAAAATCTATAATTTTATCGATACTCACACTGATGTAATATTTTGAAAACAAATAACACATTCAAGTTTAAATATCGACTACACTACTAAGATCATTTTCATCCACGCCATGAAGACGCGCCCCACCAATTTTTGGTCGAGGGAAGCGCGGGGTGCGGGGAGTTTTATCCAAGCAATCTGAGCGTCATTATTGTAGTGTGCGTGTGCATTCATTGATAATTTAGCGTGTACCGATAACATTCAAACATTCGCGAAAGAATGGTGGGGCGCGTCTTCGTGGATGAAACGATTTATAGCTTGCTAAACGTTTGCAAGGGAGACAGAAAGCGCTTTTCAGTCAGACTACGCAAGACGTCCAGCGCGACAAGCGTATAAGTACAGATACAATTCTCGCTGCGCGACCTAATGCTACTTTGTTTCCAAAGGTACCTCTCTCGATGTTCTCCCAGTGGATCCGGACGTACTCGTCCCTATTGTAGGTGGACTGCATGTGGAAGAATCCAAGCAAGTGGTACCACTCGTGGACGATGACGACCCAGTTCAAGCAGCCCTGGCCAGGCTGGTCACGTGCCACATTCATCGTGTGAATGCCCCTGTTCTGGTCGAAGCCGACGCTGGCATAGCAACCAGTTGGCCTTCCCTGTAGGTTTAAGATTATTGTGTTTTAATATTGTCTTTTTAGACAAGGACCCAGCCGTTTGACAGCTTGACTGCATCAATGTGTGAAACCCCTGAGTTTAGCTCAAAGGATGGCCGCTAGGGGCTGAGCGAATCGTATGTGACTGAGAGGAGGAGCTTCATGTCCGTTTTCACCATCAATCCCTAATTTTTAAGTGACCCCTATGAAAACAAAATTCCTGTTACCATAGGGGTCACTTCAAAATTAGGGCATCGGACTTTCTAACAAGAGCCAATACAAGAGAACAACGAGCTAAGAAATGCGATTCAACTGATTGTTTTGATTTTGTAAGCTATTCATTAACTTACGGCTTGGTACTATTACTTATTCTGTGCTTACGGTCAGCCTGACGAAGTTGCGGTCAGCAGCGGTCCTGACGCGAAATCGGACGCAGGTTCTTTGCTGGAGTGTGTCGATGGTGGTTAGGATCCATCTTTGTTGATCCAAGGCTGTAATATGGGTTAAGTTTGATAATAATTCTTATGGTAACAGAATATACATCTTTCATCATAATTAGATGGCTCTCTCGAGTTATATTGTGATTAAAAGCTTCAATAATATAGGCAGATGACTGGTAAGGAAGCCCATCCATTAAATAAGACTGTTGGCAAGTGAAAATAAAAACTATAAAATATAGAGTTTTAGGTTTAGTTACCACTCTCAAGATTATGGCAATATTATAGCGCAAGCCCAAAATGGAAATGGTCAAAAATTCAAAAAAATCAAAAATTGAATTTTTTACACGTGACGTAACTTATTTGCACTTTAAAACGTGCCATGCGATAGCTTTTGGTTCGAATAATGTTGATGTTTACGTCGTGGTATACCCCCAACCGTGGAATTTACTAATAATAGTATGATAAGACTAATAATATTCATAATTAAAAGTTGCAATGGAGGGAAGTTGAACCTTAACATTGAACTCCTCTCCTATGTTCTTCTGATTAATTTCGTTGCAGATCCAATGACAGTTTAACTTTCCCCCGGGACAAACTTGACCTTCACTGGTTGGGTTTTTATTGGCAGGCAAGCTGTAGATCCTGGCTACACAGGAGTTGCAGCGGTGGGAACGAGGGGAGGGAATAGTCCCGTATTATAATTAAAAGTTTGAATATACAAATTGATTGCACTCACTAAACTCGTTGTGTCCAAACTCATACACGACGGTGTTGCTCGGCCAACGGCTGTTGGGTCTGGTGAACGCCATGCGGCCCTCCTCATCTCCTGTGGCATAGCTGTCCACCAGGTCCTCAATGATGTCGTCATCCAGGTAGATGTCACCCTGGAACTTGCCACTGTTCTCCCAGGCATTCGATTGGGGATGCGCTTCCATGCGCTCCTCGAGAGTAAGGCCATCGTCTGAAATAATGTGCAACTGTGTAAACTAATTTCAGGAGGAAAAACTAGGAAGCAATCTTTACCAGACAACATAGGGAAAGGACACTTTGTTCAAAATGAATTTATTTATTTGTACACCATGAACATTCACAAAATGCAAACTTAAATATGTACTCGTAGGTACTTAGAAGTGAAAACTATAGTTAATTAGAATCTACAATTAATCTTGTATGATGTAAGGAAGTCCCTATATTTTTTTAATATCAAAAGCTTTAATGAACTTTTAGTAGAGGTGCAAACTTTGATAGGTTCGGAGTCTTATGCCCATTTTCACAAGTGACCCCTATGGTAACACTTAACAGGAATTTTGTTTTCATAGCGGTCACTTAAAAATTACGGATTCATGGTGAAAACGGGCATTAGACACACAGTTCATTTCACTATTATGACGTCATTATACACAATAGCGGAACTGTTCAGTACACGCCACTTCTTCCTCTAGGTTTGTTGGGACCTTTAAACTCTTGTCTAAAATCATGGTTTTATGTGGTTCAAAATATCTAATCCAGTTCCTACCTTCTCTAGTCTTCTCCAGGAGCGTCTTATACTCCTCAATCTCAGCCCTGGTCTTCATAAACCTGGGGCCAGCAGCCACCAGCGTCAGCAAGCAAGACAGAGCAAGGAGCCTGATCATTGTGACGTTTGGTGGGTTTTCCACGAGAACACCTACTTATAAGCATCGCGAAATGATAGCATTTTAAGTAGGTGGGAGGTGCCTAATTATTACATTATCCGATTAATTTTGACAGGGGACTGATAAATAATATGCTCATTTAAGTAATTATAATATCGTGATTTTTAGTTACTTGCACGTGTAATGCAATTGTCTGTGTGTGATATTATTGAAAGAAAGAATCTCTTCTAGCTAAAAGATAATAAATAAGCTTACTTTTTAGGGNACTCCTTTAGAGGTATTCGAACTGAAAACCTACCATCTATTTCCCGTTTTGTCGTATTTTTAAATATTTCCTCGCATTTACGTTCATCACAGGTAAGTATATTTTCGCGAGGGCCACTATCCTCCAATTCCCAAAATTGACGTAATTGTAAATCGATAGTTTGTGTAAAATTGCATTGAATGTTTTGTTTACAACGCATTTTATTCGTATAAATTGGTCCGGAAATCAACCAGCCCAATTTCGTATCTTGAAGGTACGGACCACTTTTTAATCGTATTTTATTATCGTTTAAAATTTCCCAAAATAAGTCCGCACCTATTAATAAATCGACTTCCGAAGGTAGATAATAAGTAGGATCAGCGAGCTCGATGTTGTTTGGAATTCGTATAGTCTCAACATCGATACTCACGGGCGGTAAGAATGACGTGATACGCGGTAAAACAAAACATTGAACGCTCGTAGAAAAATCGTTTAACTTTGAGTGAATAATNTCTCTATTCAAACACAGAATGAGAATCATACTTTCTTTATTGCGAAAAAATAGATTCTAGACATAAAAATTCATCAAACAACATAAAAATTAAAACATAGAACTAATCAGAAGTAACTCTCTTTGAATAATGCAGTCTTGAATCATTATCTTCTAGTATTTTGAAGCTTTTGAGCTGAAGTATTACAACTTCACTCCAAGAACCTTGTTGTGATTTTCTTTTATATTTATTTACCATCTAAAAAGTCAAATAATAAGAGATTAATGTCTACACTAAAGTCTGTTTTTCTTTGCTTGTCCAATATTGTAAACAATCTTAATATTCCTTTTTAACGAAATAATTCGTTTTATAATAAGATAAACACAAAGCTCACAACCTACATCATAGGTAAGTCATCGTTGAACACCGATATCATTTCCAATCATATAATTTATTAATTTTTTTCACTGATATCACTTTAAAAGTTATAAAAAGATTGTTTACATTGTTCGAATAGCAAAGAAAAACGGACTATACCTACACGATAAATATAGAGGACTAACAATAAAAGCAAGTTAGTTTATATGGCTATGAAGAGGGTAAAGTGAGCATGCTCATTATGCCCTGCTCACTTTGCCTTTTGCGCCACACCACGTTTCATAAAGCATAAACTATAATTCCTTTTAAATAATTTTCAAGGAAATATCCTTAAAACACGATAAAGTAGGTGCAACACATTACGCATACATTGATAATAACGTACGTCACTCAGTTTAATCCAATACACAACGAACATACCTTTGTTTTTTCAAATAAAATTGACGAATTTCGTTTATCGCTGTCCACGCGTGGTGTTGTCACTCGGAGGTGGCGCACACGACTTCCGCGGGAGCGGCGGGGGCGGGGGATAACGTTAACAAGACAAGACAACAAGACGAGCAAATAAGTGTAAGTTTAGAGGGGGGTGCCCGCTTTAGGCGGAGTGCCCGCTTTGGGCCAGTCTCCCCTATTTGTTATATAGTTGGACTGAGTCGATAAATAGCCCAAATGGTGAGTGAGTGAGGGTGTCCGACTGGCCGACTCATGATCCGAGGACCGCGGGTTCGAACCCAGCGCCGCTGCTGGACTGGTGGGTATTTTGCTTAGCACGAGGAGTTAGCGGGACTGTTAGTAATTTGTGGCATACACATATAGGTAAGATACAAATTGTTATAAAACATTCCTTAAAAACAATTGGAATTTGTAGTTCAGAAATAGATTATTTAGGTGGGAATTGAACCCACGACCTTATTACGAACTAGGTACATTAGATTGCACACTATTCAGCCTGACGTACTTTCATCCTCAACGACAACTTAAAATCTTTTTAGTTTTTACACTTTCACATTAGCGCCCGAAATGGCAACAAAAAAATGACAACATTCCCGTCGGGTTGTTCAAAAGGGCGCAAATAAAATATTATTTACAAAACACACAATCTTCTTTTTAAACTCCCCGAGGAGCGCCCTCTGTTACCACGTGGCTGCGCGCCCGCTTTGATCGCTACCGAACGCGCGTCGTAAATTTTGTCAGGACAAATTTCGACTCTTTGAAATACTTAACGGAGCGCTCAGCCGATGATTTGATCAGATTTATTGGGTTTAAATTGAGAATTAACCGCAACGATGTCTGGGTTTTGATAGGTTAGGGACTTGATACATGATGTTTCACTTTTTGGCAAAGAATCTAGGTANTTCCGGTACGTGGCCTCCACTTCAGAACCTTGCTGCATCTTCGTCCGTCTGTTTTGCGTACTAAGGCAGAACCTTTGGAAGACCTTATCACAATGCTCGAGAAGACCTTAATAGAGTTTCCCAACAGGTAGGCCTTCGGATGAATATGGAAAAAATGAAGCCTATGTCGAATGTCCATGTTGCTCCTTACCCAGATTCGGTTAGCAGTTCGATTCTCGAGATTGTTGACAAGTAAGTATGTCTATCTCGGACAAACGATCAGCTAGGTAGTTAGATGCTATTTCGAGAATGAGGTAAATAAAATAAATAAATAAAAATAAATAAATCGTCGAATACGAAGACGAAAGTCTTCAATTAGTGTGTGTTACCAGTGATGATATACGGCTCGAAAACGTGGCCTTTGAATATAGGGCACAACGTGCTATGGAGAGGGATAAGCTTGGTGTTTCTTTACGAGATCTAATCAGAAATGAGTAGCTCCGTAAACTAACTAAGGTCGCTGATATAGCCTGACGGATTAGCAAGCTGAAGTGGAAATGGGCAGGGCACATAGAACGCAGAACTGACGGTCCATAGGCCAGTAAAATTAATGTTTGAAAGGGAGTTGAGATGTCGTTCTTTGTTGACCAAGTACCTATGGCAAATGCTAAAATTGATTTAGAACAAGTTAAATTAACCATAAATCGTAAAGATATTAAAATATTTGCAGTGGAACAAAAAGTGATGGTGAGAGACATGAGAAAATCATTGGTATTTGCCAATCATGTACTTTGTGGCAGGTTGTGGCGAGTTAAAACGCTTTGTTTAAAATCTCAATTAAAACTTTTATCTGATTCCGATATTACGATATTGAGTCGCTCAATATCGGAATTGAAATATCGGATCTCGCAGTCCGAGATTCCGATATTACGAGATTCCGAGATTCCGATATTNTATTAGAAAACGAATAGAGGTAACTTTGGGAATTTATTCTATCGAGTCAACTTCATCAAATCGTGTTTCCATCCGTTAATAGCCCTAGAAAATATCCTCAACTATGCCCAAAAAAAATCTTAGCCTTTTATTTTACTGTTTAGTACCTCAAAAATGAAAAATGAAAACCTCATTTTCGCCATTTTCTCTGTTACCCGGCCTTAATTTTGACAGGGGACTGATAATATTATTATGCTCATTTAAGTAATTATAATATCGTGATTTTTAGTTACTTGCACGTGTAATGCAATTGTCTGTGTGTGATATTATTGAAAGAATCTCTTTTTAGCTAAAAGACAAAATAAATAAGCTTACTTTAAATTATGAATAGGGTAAGGTGCCAGGTCAGTTAAATGATCGGCCTAAGAAAATAGTGTTTAGGAAATGCCCGGCCCGGTGGTATTTGTCAATTTCAGCGATCCAGTACTTCAAAAACTATAGGTAGGTACACCAAAATAAAATATCCCTGATATTTTCTGGAACATTGTTGATTGGTGAACATACTTACCCTTTAATCTATGATGATGATCAGCATGCAAGACAGATCCTGGAACTAAGACATTGTGTTGATAGTACAAAGTACAAAAATACTACTCAGCTATTTTGGCGGCAAGCTGGCATTTTTGTTACGTTATCAAAGATAATGTATTTATTGAATGATCGGTAAAATGCCCGTATGCGTAAACACTTGCAATCGATTTTACACAAGAAGTAGGTAAGTAGGTACTAATCATTAACTAAAGTTAAAATTTTCAAAATAACAGTAGGGGAGTCCAGGAATTCCAGGATGCAGATTGGTGATTTACGTGGATTACGCGGGAGTCGTGGGGACCTATCGGATTTTAGATTAAATGCGATATACAGATCTGAAAATAAATGTAGGTATGTAAGTGCTATATTCTGCTAATTTCTTAGAATGTTTTTCAAGCAAATCCAAGGGGTATCATAGTTTCAGTGGCATGTCATGTCAGTCAAAGTGACAGGTCACGGCCCGCCGGCGCTGACATCCAGACGAGCTTGTGAGATCGCCGAAAGGCGGGGTGGTCGCCGTTTTTAAACGATTCGCCGAACGCCGGATTCGGTTACACTTGCTGCACAATGATACCCATTGAGAATTAATGTTTAGGGAATGGCAAGGCGTTTTTATTTTTGAATAATTTTTTCAAAGTCAAAGTCAAAATTTCTTTATTTGTTTAGATTAATAATTGTTCTTACAAATCGTCATTTGCTCTTAAGGAGCCTCTACATGTCTCATAATCTTTTTACCCTACCAGCGCTTCGAGACCAACATTTAGCAAGTGCTGAGAAGAAGCGCCGCAACAAACTCAGTCACCACTGTCTGCCGGTTAATATAAATAAATAGAAATAGTAGTAGTAGGTACATTCGATTCAGGAGCAGTTCACTGAATTTACCATGCATTCTTGTATGGTGTATCATAAGAATGGGTATACAAGATTGCGTGGTATATTAAACAAGGTAGTGACGTGCTAATGTCTAGACTTACATATTAAGGTACTAGTAGAAATGACTCGCATACATAAATTTGAATAACTTTAGTAATCGCTAAATTTGAATGTGGT